GAAACCAATGTGTAGATAATCTTATAAGTTGACACTGAAGTTGTGATAAATCAATAACAAAAGTTATCAGCTTTTATCAGCTTTTCAAATTAGAAAAGCAATTTAATGAAGATCATTTTGAGAAAATTTCAAACTATTAATCAAACTATATTACTTTGTGACTTTGATACATAAAAGGTGTAGAAGTATAATACCGATTATTTATCCAAATTGCGATCAAAGTTTTATTATGAAGCATTCTGTTATCAACGTTATCTACTTGTATGATTTTAATGTATGAGATTACAAAGTGTATGAGAATTATTATTTCCTTGCACGTTGAACAACGCATTCTTCCGTTTTGCGTTAGTATAGCGGAAAGAGTGTCGTAAAGAAGATATACGTCTTTTTAATAAAGTGTATAAAAGGCAATGTGACATGTCTGGACAGGTGAACCAGGCATTCGAAGTAATTTTGTTTTATTATTAATAAGTTTTATTAAATAATTCGTAGATCGTAATCAGTGAATTTTTTTTAATAATCAAGAATATATTTTTATTTTACATTATTGTATATTAACCAAAATTAAAATATATTTGACAGAATACATTTTTTCTTTCGTTTATCTACATTAAATATTTTAAAACATGTTTTTTATGAATTCTCTTCTAACTTTTATATCCGTCCAATGTTATTAAAATTTATTATTTTTTATTAATAGGAAAATCAATTAGATATGTTAGAAGATGGTCGGAAAAGCGAACCTATTACATATCAGGTAAGTATATTGTTTTCATTTTATCACTGTAAAGGATTTTCATTTGAAATTTTCGATTGTTTATCTACAGTTTCAAGCATATTTCTGCGTAATCAATTAGAGAATAATAGTCATACCATAAGTATATTAAGTTATATGAACAGAAAATTGGATAATTTGCTGTTAATAAATAATCCCCGACAGTAATTAATAAGTAATTTTCAAGCATACCTATATAACAAATGACATTTAAACAATGATAAATTTTGGTCATCACATGACTATTTAGACATAGATCAAGTCCACAATATATCACATCCACAAAACATCATTTTCATTGACATCTTAATGATTGCAAAACAGGACTAATAATATGTATGATCCACGCTTTAATAATCCAAGTATCATTTGATTTTTAATTTTACCACGAAATGTTGCTATAATATTATAGGGATATACAAGATTGAAATATTGTACAAAATATTGTCGAAACGCAAATGTAATGCAATCGTTATTATATTTATTAATTTTCTCTATACAAAAATAAAATACATATAATTACATGTCGCACAATAAGTGCATATATAAATCACGTACAAATAATTATAACATCAGAGCTTCGGTACAGATTTTCATTATGTAGGAAACTCGATTAAATTTTACATGCGAGAAACAACTATCGAGTGATAGTTCTAAAATACCAGAAAAACTATATCGGATTAATTTCAAAAAATTTGAAAATGTCTTAAAATTTATTGAGATCTTTTCTCTCAGTATAATAACTCCAAATTACTAGCGTTAAAAATTTATATAAAATAACATACTAATAATTCAAAGCAATATTAACATATAGTATATTGTTTTCACAGAATGCAAATTATCACGAAGAAAAAAATCCTTGGGCAATCAACAACAATGCAGTTCATGCTTATCTTTCAAAACATCAAAGAATTTTTAAAACGTTTGGCTTAATAATTTTGAATCTTCTTTTCATAACATATATAATCTTTGCTAGTATATATTGGGAAAATCAACGTAAGTTAATTGTTTCCATACAATTTTTAATTTGGACTAATTGATTGATAAAATTTACAAAATTATATAACAATATTTTTTCATTTTTTTTTTTTAGAAAAAAATTGTGATTTTCAATGGTGTGAAGGCTATGGTTTACTACTTATACTTACAGGACTTATTTATCTTGGTTTATTTTATTTTTTGATTGTAAAACGATATCTTAGCAAATACATTTTACAATGCTGCCGGCCAGCAACAAATTCCTTGGAACGTTTGCAAAACACCAAGTAAAATGTTAACATTATTCTTATCGAATAATAGAAATTATTTATAAACAATTTATGCCAACATTTAAATTTTTCAGATATGGAACGCGCATCACAACGATAATAATTTATTTAGTTATATTTATAGCCATCATTATTTTTCTTATCATTGATACCGTCGATTCCAGACACAGGCTAATTAGTATTCTTGGCGTTATTATCTTATTAGGATTAGGTTGGGTGTTCTCTAAATATCCGGGACAGGCAAGTAAATTTTAAAGTTATAAATCTCTAATTCCGTCATCATCACCGATCATATCTATCATTCTTAAATTGATAAGGAACGGATTTTCTTTTTCTATTGCTTAAAGAAAATCTACGAGAAAATCTACTAATTGATTCATGGACTTTACATTTTATTATATTTTAGTAATAATTATTTCCATCTGTTACATCGACTTAAACGCGTTCCAATTATTATGACATATACATGAGTGTTGTCGGAGAAAATTACTAGAGGCAAGTGGATAGACGCGTCGCCAATTCCGCTGGAATTAACCCACTTCATTAAATCGTCTAATGTACTTAAGGCACGCGGATCTCTTGTATACTTTTTTTTATGCAACATATAATTCAAGATATTCTATTCTCCAGAAAAAAAAAAAAATTCAAATATTAAGTATAAATTATAACAAAACAAGTTAACACTACTACTAAAAATAAATTAATAGATAATATTACAAAATTATCACATACATTTCGATCCGTAAAAGGATTCAAATTTAAGGTTAAAACGTACGCAATAACTTTGTAACAAATTATTAATATATTTGCATAACAAAATCACTGCGCGAGCTTGGCATTTTTATAATATTTGTTTATAATATTTCTAATTTTTTATTTTGTTCTATTAAGTATAAATTTAGAATGACTTAATCCTTTTAATAAAACATAAAATGATTCAGCTGTGTACAGTTCTTCTCATTATTTTTTCTAATTATTTTAACAATCTTAAATATATACAGGTCAATTGGAAACCTGTCATTTGGGGAATGATTTTACAATTTATACTTGGACTTATTATTCTTCGATGGCCTGTTGGTCGTAGTATTTTTCAATGTGTGTCTGCCAAAGTGGCCACTTTCTTGAATTACGCTAAATCTGGCTCCAAGTTTGTATTCTCAGAAGACATTGTTAACAAAGGAGTCTTTGCTTTTACGGTTAGTTGATCTACTAATGTATTTAGAAAACAATTAATTTTGTAAAACAATTAATTTTATCATTGGGAGAAATTTTTACATTACTTCGTTTATCAGTAAAATTATTTTCTTTTAATTTATAATTTTGTACTATCATAAATTAGTACTAACTATTCTCTATCCATTTCTCTATCTATCTATTTCTCTATCCATTAGGTCGTGCCCGTAATTTTTTTCTTTAATTTCATGGTACAAATTATGTGTTACCTCGGTGCGATGCAATGGATTATTATGAAATTAGGCTGGGTCTTGCAAAGCATAATGAGTACAACGCTATGTGAGTCATTCGTTGCTGTTGCTAATCCTTTTATTGGAATGGTAATATTATTACAATGTTTAAATAATTAAAACAATAACACTAGTTTACAAAAAATATTTTTTAAATTATTTTAAAGATAAGGTGCTTGTTATGGATTTTTAGATGTTGAAAACAATGCCAAAAACTCACTAGCATATTAGATTTCCAAAACAATCGAAATTGTTTGAAATTTTCTTATAAAAATAAGATATTTAAATTAAAAACATTTATTTTAAAGATGAACAATATATTCACTTCTAATCGGAATTAAAAAAAAATATTAACCTTTTTTAAAAAAGATTTCAAATAATGTAAAAAGTAATTTTTTCATATTAAACTTTATTTTGAAATGTGATGTGACAATGAAATTTGGCTTATGGCACTATCTTCAGTAGCCAAAAATTTATAACAAACATGGATCTTGTCTGAATGAAAATAATTTTAACTGTAAAACTAATGTAATTTTAACTGTATAAATGTAATTCGTTTATATTCTCGTAAAATATTTCTAATCTCAATTTAAAGCTGATTTATTTTGTCTTTTAGTCCGAATCTCCTCTTCTAATTAAACCGTATCTCAATCAATTGACTTCCTCGGAGTTGCATGCTGTATTAAGTTCGGGATTTTCCACAGTTTCTGGTCTCTGTCACATACATTTCACAAGTACATGTCGCTGGCAACATTAAATTTCAATTTCTAATCATATTTGCACTCATTATAGGTACGGTATTAGCTGCTTATATATCATTTGGTGCTAAACCGGCTCATTTAATAACCGCTTCCATAATGTCTGCACCAACTTCTTTAGCCTATTCCAAGCTCTTTTATCCAGAAACTGAACAAAGTCTCACAAAATCCGAAAATATCAAGCTTGAAAAATCGTAAGTGCTTCGTAAATCGGAAACTTCTACAAATCATTTATCTTAATAACAATTGTGATAAAAATTTAAATTAGATCGGAAAATAGTATTTTGGATGCCGCAACGAATGGTGCATTAGCTGCGATTCCAATCGTTTTGGGTATAATCGCAAATATCGTAGCTTTTGTATCTTTTATCGCATTTTTAAATGGAATACTCTCTTGGTTCGGCAATCTGGTTGGTTATGAACAATTGAGTCTTGAGGTAAAAAAATTTTTCAAAGCTGATCTTCCCAACTTCTAAAAATATATGTTTTTAGGCTTGTAGTTTTAGGATTCTAGTTTTGCAGATTATATTGGCAAAAATTTTTATGCCACTAAGTTGGGTGATGGGCGTTCCTTGGGAACATTGCGAAGACGTAGGAATGCTGATAGGCATGAAGACAATTATCAATGAATTAGTCGCTTATCAAAGGATGGGTGAATTGATAAAGCAGGGTCGAATATACGGAAGATCGGAAGCGATAGCCACATACGCGATCTGCGGTTTCGCGAATCCAAGTTCGATTGGCATCCAAGTTGGCATGTTTTCGTCTTTGGTGCCAGAAAAGAAAGAGCAAGTAACGAAAGTCATTGTGCGAGCCTTCGTTACTGGTAGCGCCGCCTGTTTTCTCACAGCTAGTATCGCCGGTAAAGTTGAAATCCCAATTCATCACATATATTTTCTCAAGTTTCAGCTCCTTTGCAGAAATCCAATTTAACGCTAGCTAATTTAATATATTAACAGTCAATTATTTTTATTTCAAGTATTAAAAACTTTTAATATCTAAAATAAATAATTAATCTGCCAGAATAAAAGTTCTGTAATGATTACATTAAAACATTGCATTCATCTTTCACATTTTATTTCATTTTGTTTCAGGTGTATTACTTGACGATATTTCAGTATTATCTGTCCCAAACAATATGACAATGTCAAACGTCACTTCAACATTAACTTCATTAATGTAAAAAGTTACATCAGAATTAAGAAATTATATCACAGATATTATACGTATTGTTGAAATTTTGTATTTTCACATTTTTTATTATTTCTTTGAGAAAAAATGACAGTAAACAACTGTTCTTGTTAAATAGTTATAAGTGTTATAATTATATTATTAAGTAATGGAGAGAGAGAGAGAGAGAGAGAGAGAGAGAGAGAGAGAGATGAAATAATGAAGAAAGACACAAATAAATTTCATTATACCCTTTTTATGAGTAATTTTTAATAACCATCAAAATATAACTTATAAGTAGCGTACTATTCGAAATCACCAATTCTGACTGGAAACGTTTAAATCTAATAAAATTAAATACGATGAAGAAAGCCATCAAAGTTGGATGTTTCAAATAATATATTATATATTCTTATATTAAATTAATTTATTCCAGATATGATTGCAAGCCGATAACATTTGGTTTCAACGCAATCATTCTGAAAACGCTAATAATCCCCTCTAAATTAAATTAGAAAAAAAGGAAGAAAGTAAAAAATTATTACGAAAAATATTACCTCAGCCAGGATTCGAACCTGGGATCTCAACTTTCCGGTGTGTTGAAACCAAATGTTATTGGCTCGCAATCATATCTGGAATAAATTAATATAAGAATATAATATATTACTTGAAACATCCAACTTTGACTGATCATGGCTTTCTTTATCATATTTGATGTATCACACATACGGTCGTACTTAAAATTCTCAAAATGTTTTCTAATAAAATTAATAAAATTCCGCGCGCAAATAATATATACTAATTATAAATTAAAATGACAAAGTCACATTACATAATGCGATATACTTATTGTACACTTGTGCCATTATTTGTACGTTATTTTGTATGTAATAATTATTTATATCAATTATTTATCAAGAAATACAAATTTCCCCCCAAAATAAGCTCCTGCTTATTTATTATATATTAATTAAGAATATTAAACCTATAATATCGCAATAGTATATATGTCGCAATGCAATAATATCACAATGTCTCGAAAATGTGGAATGATCGCATGTATTACTTCAAAAAGCCGAAAATAGATGAACTCGTTTTCATTTTCTACGATCGTTTATGGTAGAGCATGCAACTGATAAATCTCATAAATGCTATCAGTGCGGTTAAACACGTCGGCAGTCACCTCCAACATTTTAGGTAGAACATCTATATTCCGCTGAACATTTTCACCGCAAACCTGAGAAGATAAATATATGTGAAATAACCTGTTCAATATATCAACTACTTCATAGTTCTAAAATGATTCTATTAATTCATTTACCTTTTTGAACAAAATCTCCCTACTAGGCATAGTGTACATTGCAACTATTGCAGCTTTCCTGATCATCCATGGATGATGCTTGGCCAAAGTTTTATTGTATGCATCTTGACAACAAGAAGTTGTTTTTTCAACATCTGTGAGATCACCCAGTTGTTGTAAAAATTCCCTAATAAAATCTAAAGGGCCGAATAACATAAATCAGATGTTAATTTCTACAATATCAAGATGTAAATGAAATTTCATAATGTACCTAAGCCTCTATGAAGTCTCAATAAAGTACGTGCGCCATTGATAAAATCAGCTTTCTCTAAAAGTTTGTTTTCTCTTTCATATTCAATCATAGATTTAACAGTCATATAATTCTGAGCATCTTTACTTTTTAATTCAGTCAAGACATCTATCTTTTGTTTCAGATCAGAAGAGACAAAACTGAAGACACTGCCCATCAGCTGAAAAAATCTGTATGTGCATGCAGCATGTTACAAAATACAAATCTTATCATAATCTCAAATATCAATAATCTGATATCACAGATAAGAGATAATATAAATAATTTTCTGAATTAATGAAGCAAATATAAAATGATAACAGTAAAAAATTTGAATCTGTTAATAATATCAGAGAATTATAACTTTTATATAATGACATATTTATGTAATGACAATATATAACATATTATTTATAAATATTTGATTCAAATTTTTATTTATTAAATTTTGGATAAAAATAATATAAGATGACATATAATGTAAATACTTTT